CCACTAAAGCCGCGGACGGCAGAGTTTTGCGTTACACAGACTATGGCTAGATGTACTCATTAGCGTAATTAGCAACAACTGTTAACTTTTGCTCACAAAAACAATGTGTAATTAAAGACCTTTGTGGCAAACTGTTTGATCCTAAGATCCTGAAAATTTGAAGATTGTAGCATAGAAAGTTTACGAGTTGATTTACGGTGACCGTCTCTTTTGGTGCCTTTTTATGCGAAAGGAAGAGTTCTGATCGGGAGAATCCACTCTGTAACAATCCTTGGTGCCCCCTATTTTTAGTGTGACATCCCTACTTATATGCAAAGATCTGACCAAAATACAATAATGAAAAGGATTTTTGGAATGAAAATTGATTACGTGTAGCTTTAAGAATCACTGGACAAGAGGGGAAGAAACCTAGGCGAAAAAATCTGTTTTTTTCTCTCACCCCCACAACAGTAGTGTGGTCGCCCGTGCTAGAAACTCTGGTGAGAGATTTGACAGTGTTACCGCGTGCACTGAAAACATATGGTGTTTAGAAATGATAGGGGTTTTGGAAACACCACTTCCTGTTTTCATATGATAGGGGTTTTGGAAACACCACTTTTTGTGAACAATATGTTTTCATATGATAGGGGTTTTGGAAACACCACCAAGTTGTGAACAATATATGTTTTCATATGATAGGGGTTTTGGAAACACCACTTTTTGTAAATAATATAATAATTATGTTTTCATATGATAGGGGTTTTGAAAACACCATTTTTTGTGAACAATATATGTTTTGGAATTAAATGTATTTAAGATATATATATTGTTTTGAAAAATGTATTTATTTTTTCTTCTTAAGCATATATGTTTTACAATTGTATGTTTTTACTATACATATATTGTTTTGAAAAGTATATATATATTCTTATTAAACATATATGTTTTACAATTGTATGTATTTTAAATATATATATCATATTTTTGACAGTGTTTCTGCTTCGTACACCTTGTAATCATGTACAACTTACTACAAGTATTCCCTTGTCATCTGGATACTTTCACTTTGCAGAAAACACGAATCGGGATGTCTGTCAACAATCTGAGGAAATCCAGCAATAGTGAGGAAGTGAACGCCCTGGCCAAGTCTTTGATAAAGAGTTGGAAGAAACTCCTGAACCAGAATGGTGAAAAAAAGTGGCTTTTCTTCTTCATGATTAGACCACCAGTGTCATGGCTTGTTTAGATGCAGGGAGACATCAGAAATACCAGCACAGCTCTTATTATACACATTAATCTTTCTTTCCAGTTATAAAAAACTCTATTTTCTTGATTGATAAGGCACTGATGTACATGTAGCTGGTTAGGTTCTGTATATGCATATTGATTAAATTTGTTTCCATGTTTGTTTTTTTATTTGAAAAATAGTTTTTCCATGTCCTTTTGATGAGTAGATAATACATTTTGGTAAAAAAAACTTCTTCGTATTACTGAAAAAAAAATTGATTACGTAGGTGCTCCCAAAAGATCAGACTCTACCTCATCAGAGCCAGCGTCTGAAAAGTCTCCACCTGAAGGAAGAAAGTTGGAGAGACAGGATTCCAGCAGCACTGCAGGGTCATCCTTCTCTTCCAGCCAAGACAGCTTCCCTCCTGTCACCAAAACACACGACAGTGTCAGGGAAAAGTGCCGAGAGATGCTCGCTAATGCCTTGAAAACTGATGGTATGGAACTTGAAGTGAAACTTACTCTAAACAACATTCATCAAAATAACAATTCACACATAGAATCTCAGCTGTATGTTGAATTAGCTATTTTGCTGTGAGATCTGTGAGTGTGTGTGTTTATTTGATATAACAGAAGTGTTATATCTTTTGAATAGAGAATTTTTGTACTACATTGGAAGGGACTTTGTTTAATAGGCTAATAAGTATGGTGAATGTATGTATAAGACATGTGTAAAGTAAATACATGTATAGACAGTAGGTGACTTTCATATTTGAAATAGGATTAATAGAAAACTAGAATACCATTATTTACATTTAATATCATTCTCTTGAAGTATCGGTTAAAAAAGTACAATGTCCAAGTTTCTGCATGTTCTTGTTTTTGTCTTCTGTGTTTTAATGTCTCCATTCCTGTTAACATTTGATGTGATATTTTTGTTCAGCAAAACCAGAAGATGATTTCAACTACGAGCTCACAGCGGCCAGAATTGAGGAATATATCCTTTCTTAAATAGTTCTGAAAATTCAATGATTAGATAAGATACATGCATATGGTCCTTAAAGGTTTGGCATGGAGATGGTCAATGTACTTTTTGAAATCATTCAATTAATACAAATGTTCTTGTATTCTGTAGGATCAGTCAAATATGAGGTACTTTGTACTGCTATAGATTCTCTTGTTGGTTCAACTACAAGTTCACTGAATCACTGCTGTTTGCTACTCAGTACATGACTCATAGGCAAAACCATAAACATCTATCTACAATTGTATATGTAGTAGATGAGTTGTAAGTAATCATTCACTTGCCACTGAATACACAACACATCATTCATTTGCTACACATCATTTATTTGCTGCTGAATACACAAGATTAGCATAGAGCTCTATATACAATTGTAGTAGATAAGTTAGTCGTGAATAACAATTCAAAGGAATCTCTGCTGACTTAGTTGGTAAAATACATGTAGTCCTTTAATGCCAGTAGTTTGAATTAATCAGTCACTTTCTTGCTGTTACTAGTGTTAGCTGTTAGCTGGTGTGTCATATTATCAGCTGCCTAGATACTAGTAGTAGATACTTATTATCCTTGACTGCTACCTCCACGTATCTTTCAAGAGTTCAAGAACACAGAGATGAAGTACAAGACCAGGGTGCGCAGCCGTATCGCCAACCTGAAGGATACCAAAAACCCTGGACTGAGAGAGAAGGTTCTTCATGGGGATGTCAGCCCTGAAAAAATGGCCAAAATGACCGCTGAGGTCAGAAATATTCTTGATTTTCGATAGTCTACATGCATGATATTGCTCATTATGTAGTTATTGTTGTGATGTGTGTCTTAACAAATTTTATGGTGACTTTGGTATATATTTCTGGGTGCTTGTGAAAATGGTCTTTTGCATGACAAAAAAAAAAAAGAATTGGGGTGTTATGAATTTTACTTCTGTAAAATAAGGCTTTCTAAACAACCTGAAGACAAAACAGGACAAAATTTTCAGCATTTTTAGCTTTTCCATTTGTTGCATGACTTATGTTTTGTAATGATGTGATGAACATTTTTTTTATTCCTCAGGAAATGGCCAGTCCCGAGATGAAGGAACTTCGACAGTCCCTTACCAAGGAGGCGATTCGTGATGCCCAGATGGCCACCACAGGAGGCACCCAGACAGACCTGCTCAAGTGTGGCCGGTGTAAGAAGAGAAATGTCACCTACAATCAAGTAAGTATGGGCAGGGAATAGGAGTGGCTACAGGTATGTACTAGCAAGGAGTCGCATGTTTTGGAACTACAGTACAAACATTTTAAGGATTAGTCTACAGATGGCAAGGTGATTATAATGGGTTTTGAGTCAAAGTGTAAAATATGACCAAATAACCATGTAGAAACTTGACTGTTTTCTACTCCTGTTGTGTCCTCCCTGCAAGTTACCTCCTACCAACTGTAATAACGGCCAATCAGTGCTGGAGATGCATAACACAAAATACATCACGCAAAGTTTACATATTATGTATACACAGCAATATTGATTGTTGTAGTAGCCTTGGTCATCCAAGACCTGGCAACCCCCCCATTTAATGGGCAATAAGTCATTACATGTACCTGTAATGGTGTGGGTCCTAAGCCCTGTGTTGTTGTTCCAGGTGCAGACACGGAGTGCAGATGAACCAATGACAACATTCTGCTACTGTAACGAATGTGGAAACCGATGGAAGGTGAGTCCTGTCGTTACAGTCAACCTGCTCTGTGTACTTAATAGTAGAAGACAATACAAACCATAGCTGAAAAGCTAAAATGTTGTGCCTGAGTCAAACATCACAACAACAGAACTTGAAATGCTGAGTGTATCTGTACATGCCATAATGGCAAAAGTTGTTCAGTGGGCAAATTTAAACACGTCAAGTGAGATGACTTGTGTCATAGTTTTTTCTACCTCTCTTCCAGTAGGATTTAGTGAATGTAACTGAAAATGCCCAGAAATAATTTATCCACCAGTAGAGTTTGAACTGCCTGTATTGTTCACCTCAATGTCTAACCTTCATCGATGTTCCTCTCTTCCAGTTTTGCTGATCAGTAAAGAAAAGTCAAGATGTTGACACAGCTCCCCATGATAATGTGATAATATTATGGTTGGAGAAAATGTATGCAGTGTTGCATACATGTGTAGCTTCAGCACCAACTGTGAATCATGCACTGTAGTAGACAGATGTTTTGAGTAATTATGCTTGAAAAATATTGAAACTCAAGGCGATTTTATGGTCCTCTATTCAGATGTCCTAAGGAATTGTTCAGCAAGGATTTGGAATGGGTAACCTTGTCCACATTTCTTACCATATTGGTTGAGGAACAGTACTTAAAGATGTCCATGTTCAGTGAGATCACTAAAGCTGTGTGATGATACCAGTTCATATTTTAGGACACTGTAAATACTTGTAGACCCAGGACAGTAGCTGTATGTTTGAACATTTGGAATCCTGTTACAAATCATATGAATCATTTTTATTTCTCCTTCAAAGTAAAGTAAGTTTTTCTTCTACAATGTCTGCTTGGAATCACTCGCATTGTGGGTTATGGGTTATAGTAAAACACATCTCATAGGTATGGCTTGTCTGTATGGAACAGTGTTTGTAAAGTCAGTTACTAGTATGTTGTAGATTGACGTCTACCAGTTGCATGTTGCATACATGTGGGTCACATGCTAAACAGAAATGGGAACAAGGAAGATAATTTTTAGGTCTGTTAATTCATATCCTCTGATCTTCACTTACTCAAAATTGTCTCCAGATGCTGATCGTGACATATAGGGTGTTACAGGGAACCCAAAGAAAAAAGCCAGTTGTAGAGAAAATGGAAAGATGAAATGGTCATACAGCATGTAGGTGCAGGTAAACATCAGAAATAACTGCACAGTTATTTCTGACGTCTGGAGAATAACTGCACAGTTATTACTGCTCCTATTTTACCTGCAATATCCTGCATATGCAGGTGGTATTTTGAGCCCTGACGAACAAACTTGATAGTAGTGTCAGTTGTGGATAATGTGTACAACATGAGACACCACAGACAGGGAGAGTGGTTCCTGTACAATAATTGTGCTGTGATAACCCGGAGAATGGAAAACAGGCCTCTGTGCTAAAGGTGTACAAGCTATAATAATTGATGGGAGAAACACAGAACACCTACATGTAAGATGGTATTTTTCTTCATTCTTTTTTGCTGACTACATCTACTGGTATGTGTATGGCTTTAGTCATCATATCTTCATCGAGGAGTGTCCATAAGAATTAAAAAGTTGTACATATTATAACTTACAGCTTTACTTTAATGTATTTTGTCCACTACTTACATGTACATAGTTTGTGTGTGTTCTTTGTTGTTGTTGTGTGTGTGTGTGTGTGTGTGTGCATGCATGTGAGTATGCAGAGAGAGTATTTAGTATTGAACCAAGTGTTTTTGTGAGGATGATGTTCAGCACCAAGGACAGGCATGTTCATCTGTGTGTGGATTGTGTTCAGCACCAAGGACCGGTATTCAGGGCCAGGTGTGTTTGCCTGTGTGTGGATGGTGTTCAGCACCAAGGACAGGTGTGTTTGCCAGTGTGTGGATGGTGATCAGCACCAAGGACAGACATGTTCATCTGTGTGTGGATGGTGTTCAGCACCAGTGACAGGTCTGCCTGCCTGTACATATGTAAGGATTGGTTTTTAGGAACAGGTATGTTAACCTGTGTATTGGTTGTGTTCAGCACAATAAACGTATGTGTTGCCTGTCAACTCTGCCAAGAAAAATCAAAATATTTCATGGAAGTATGATAAGAGGTCTCCAAACTTTATTATTCAGACCCGCTACAGTAAGTAAGGTGGTATGATAATGAATTTGCACGTTTGGTCGTCCACTCTTGGTGAGGGTGATCGTCAGTTTTGGATATTACATTATCATATTTCAGTCCATACTATGGTATGGATGAAATATATTGTGTTCTCTGATGTTTCTTCTTCTCCTCCTCCTTCTCCTGCCAAACAGTCAAAGGGATTCAACTCCGCCATCATTCAGCCAAATGACTTGAAATTTGGCATGGAGGTAGAGTGGGCCAATACCCCCAGGCGTTTTTTTCATTTTTTTGATACATGCCTTTGAAAAAAAATTATGAAGGTTTTTTGGGGCATTTTTCGACAAAAAATGGACTTTTGGATCCTGAGCCCTGGTTTTACAACCAAATGATCTGAAATTCAGTATAAGGGTACCTTGAACATGTGTCTACAGAATAGCAGTCACATATTTGGCATACACCACTTCCAAATGACTCATTTGGGGGACTTTAATGGCTATTTTCAGCAAAAAAAGGGCCAAAAGTGCTGTACCCGTTCCATGTTCTATCTAAAGAATGGCCGGTTCCATCCATGGAACATGTGTTCCATTGCGGGTTACCTGAGGTCACATTGCACCTAAGTGGTGCGTAATAACCCACACATTCAATTTTAGGTGCCTAAGACCTTCAAAATGTATCAAATCTCATCATTGTTAGTATTTGCATACCTGTAATAAGACTAGTAAAGCTTTCGAGATTCAATGTGCTTGTTCTTGCATCTTTGTTCTCAATTTCATAGCTACTATATAATTCATTTATTTGAGAATCTTTGCCAGTTTTACACTGGGGTAAGTTTGGAATAGTCCACTTTTGCGTGGGAGGGAGATGGACTGAAATATGCTGTATTTGCTCCCAAGCAAATGTCGGCCTCTCTAGTATGAATTTCTGCCACAGTAGCATAACGCCGACGCCATGTCTGAATTCTATCATAGCACGGTCCATTACGAGCCTAAATCTTGCAGTCTCTAACTTGTTGACTGGTAAAACTATAGTACAGTATCCTCTCTAAATGTATTTTTCGCAAACATATACAGACCCATTTCTCCCTTGTGTACATGAACATGTTGAGGGAAACTTGAGAATTTCTTTTGGCCCGTCTGAATATTCCTCGCTCGCAGTGTGATCAAAACCTTCGGACTGTCGTTCTTCCTAAAATCAGTAGAGGGCGCGTTTGAAATGCATCTCTTTTGCTTATGCCCTTCCACAGAATTTTTAAGGTGTTGCTAAGAAATATCGTTACATACTCTAGAACACATATCGATGTCTTAACCTTATTCTGCATATATGTCTGATCAGCATAGTTGCTTTCTTTTGACAAATTGAACGGCATCTGGCATTTCGAAAAACATCAGCGTATACCACTTACTAAACGCATAAAAACCACGAGCTGAAAACGGATGGATATCAGGCTAGCTTGACTATGAAGCTGCAATCATATAATATTGTGCCTGAGCAAGGATGTTCTAAGTGAAACATTATATCCATGTTTATTTAGATCAGGACGAAATCTGAGCTGTTCCTATTTTCATGAAGTTATGTAACTGAGCGTGACTACTACACAGTTGAATGTGTAACACGTTTGCGAAGCTGGTGTAACGCCGAAGTGAGGTTATACCGGCTATACAGATACAGATAAAGAATGCAAAGCTGCGAAAACCGCAAAGGCTCTTGAGTTCCAATCGTTTTGTATACACAACCCTAGTCAAGGCAGTAACATGAGCGTTCAAGTTTTTTTTTGTGTCACTGCGACACAAAGCCTGCAATGGCTTCGGGGCAAAACACAATCGTATATGTATATTAGAGCAACTAAAACAAGCACAGTTTTGTACAGGATAATTTTCAGCCTCTCCCATCTTTCTGACCGTATTATCTAATGCTGGAAGGCCTGACTGCTCTTGACAGACTGTCCCATTCTTCCCAGTCCTTCGGCTTTTCTTGGCGCCAACTGTAATCCCAGACTGACTTATCACGAGAAATAAATGTGTTCCACTTCAAGGACTTGATATGACAAACTGTGGCTCGGTGCCAGATAGCCAAGGCCGAATGGTACGGAAACCGCCCGGTTATTGGTTCCCACCCATGTATTCCTCGCCGTGGTTACCCTGATGTTTATCTCACGAGTTTCCCTATCGGCGCCGGAAGAGGGGTAACTGTTGCTCAGTTTGGCCGGTATTGGTTTGCCGGGTTTAGGCGTATTGTATAAATTTCCTCCGCCAGGGATATGATACCACACACTGGACAGCCCATCCAAAGCTTTATGAGCTACATGTAACGGTTTTGGTCACCTACAGTTCGTATAACATGTAAGAAAGTACGAGCCTTATGATAAATTCTAATTCAGGACCCTGGACCCTGGAGCCATACATCAAGGTTAAGATACCTAGAACTAACATAGTACTTTCTGCGTTTATTTTTTCACAGTTAGACGGGCCATCACAAGCAAGGATGAGCTTCTGGGAGGTCTTATACGCTCTTTGTTGCTTTTAGGACATACGGTTGCAATACTCGTGTGATGTATAGTAGGTAGCATCATTCAAGAAGAGGACGCCTCATGCCAGTCTACCAAGTTCACTGGACATAACTTGGCCACAGATGCAGGCTATATCAGTATATGCGTACCGACCTTGGTGCAACCAATGAGGTTATCACAGTTTTAGTTTTATCAAAGGTCTTAGGCTGCTGTTTATTACTGTTTACGTTAGAAAGGTGATATATTATCCAACGCATGTGTGCCTATAACATGGTTGTGAGGATTACGCCATCTGCATGCATCGAACCGTACATTGGTATTGCCCCCCCCCCCCCTAGGATTGGAAAAGTCGTTATCACACATTGATTGGGTCCGTACTCCGTACCGTGATGTTCTCGGGGTGAACAGTGGATCACAGCTGTGGATGTGAAACCGACATGCAGTATGGCCAGGTGGTCACCGTCCCAAGCAGTGGGTACCAAGTACCAGGCAATATGGGTCCTCTCTTACACGTGTTTATAAACAAATAAAGTCCCTTACGTTTTGCTCTATTTTCGTCCCTAAAGATTAACTACAGCTAAGTGAATACGACAGGGTATCGTATGACAAAAGTGGTCCGTAGTTTCCTCAGGGAACTAACCTGTACTTCAAGCACTTTTCGGTTCATGGAAGTTTGCCTGGCCGTTCAGAGTCAGAGACATGTGACCGTGCATATATATGCACATGTAAGCTAAACGCCCGTCATTCTAATGATAAAACTTGCTTGGCTGTGCATTGTTTGGCAATACTAGTAATTTAGCATTGAGTATACTGTACCAGTATTAGTTTTGTTGTTGTTGTTCTCTTGTTAGCGATGTTTGAAGGATCAGTGCCACCTTGTTGGCGACCACGCCCCAATGGTTGTCAGCTGGCACGGCTGCCTGTCTGGTGCCCCGGCACGAGCATAACCTCGGTCTATGGAAGCTTCCCGGGTCATTGTCCTGTTCTTTTCTTATCTCATGTGGTCAATTTGTCAGGAAAGTACGCCATATCGGACTTCCAAAAAAACTGATAAAGAATAGAGGTCAGTGGCTCAGAACACCTTTATATGGGATTTCCATATCTCACACTATCTCACAAGGCTATCATCACGGGTACCTTTACAATTCCGATGCCCCCGTCGGGTTTTATATTTCATCGTCACCACAAAAGGGCTGTTTGTGTTCGATGTAAACGTGAACGGATTCAAGACAGAGGCAAAACGAGTATTTTAACATTGTGCTAAGTAAAATATTGTAAAATATATAGTTACCCGATGATGATGATGATAGTTATAACCGACTCATTTCAAAAAGTGTGGACAGCTCAGTTTTGATTCTGCACATTTCGTCACATGTCGTCATATTGGAACAATCGTTTTTGCAGCCGCAGTTGGTATATCATCAAGTTATTGGATGGATGCCATGCTTGTCCCGTCTTCAATATCTGTTACATGTATTACCTTCTTCAAGTTCATCATCATTTGAAACATAGAGAAATCTGCTGTATCGTGAGTAGTCGTTAAAGACTTATCAAGAAAGACCCGATCCCGTGAGAGAAACTTATGCTATGAAAATAAAAGGGAGACTAGAAACACAAAACCCGTCGATAAGCTCAGGAAATGTCTGAGATGATTGTAGCGGGGTTACAGGAGGTCATAGCGCGCCTGAGGGTACGGAGTCTTTCCCCGGTCTGCGGTTAGATGTTCTGTCAGCTATCAATACCGTCATGTTACACAGAACATTCTTCGTGTAGGCGGAATTCTGCGGGCGATATGGGAACTATGAGAGTGAGATACCGGAATGCCACAAGACAGCTCCTGGGAATGAGAAG